GTCGGGTTATGGACTTTCAGTTAGTTTGAGCACTTGAGACTTATCAAACTATTCATGTTGCATTTCTCTTAACAGTACGATATACATATACTCAGGATCAAAAGGATATGTCTATTTCCACCACTTGAGTCTTCAATATCTTCATATGCCATTTATTCTCAATATATCTTCATAAAGGTTGCAAAAAATGTTTGTCTCATTCTTCTTGAGGAAATTCATCTTGAGCATGTGACTTGACCCAACTCCATATATATGAGTTCACTCAATAGAATGAAGTCACTTTTCCATATGATTTAATAAAGATTTGGTTCTCCACACAATGTGACTTCTCTTTGGTTGATTACTGCCAAGACTCAATGCAAGTACTCCCTTCTTCACCATAATCGTGGTCCATTGGCTCCCAAGCCGTCTCTTTCCCTTCACCCTTGCTTGGCCCTTTGAAGCCCTACCCTTGCTATCTTTAGCGTCTCAAGTCATCCCAAGACACATGATGATTTGAATCAACAATAAGCATACATTGAAAACCATCTTCATCTTCATTGATTTCCACTAGCAAGCTTTCAAAGTCAGACCATTCCCTATGCATAACCTTATTTCTCATCTATCCTTCACAAATATGCTTGCCTTCACATAATGCAATGATATTCCATAACACATAATCCATTTCATCAATTCCATTTGTATTATTATCTTCTGATTGAAGAAGATTGTTCCCATTTCATCATACAATACATAATTTTGGCTTTCATTTCAACATAATATAAATACCATCAAGTTTGCATTCTTGTTGAACCTTTGATACACTTCAAATCATACAGCAAACCATATCCACAGTGTATGCAATATAATCAACTTTCTATTCAACACTTAGCAAACTTGTTAGACCTTTAATGTGTTGTCACTCAATCCACCAAAACCCACCAAAGGGCTAGATGCACTTATAGTGGGGCACAACCCGATTAAGTAAAACCCAAGCACAACGCATCTGGATGCTTATTGTGTCCATGCCTACACCACCTGATGGCTCATGTTGTGCATGTGCCACTACCTCATCCCGTAGTGCTAGCATGAGCACACCCAGTTTAAAAGGCGAGCATGTTGTTGACGTTTATGAGTGTAAATATAATATTAAGGATTCTGCAAGCGCACAAAACATCATTATAGCATTCCACCGGGAGTATTTCAGGTATCATTATTTATATTTTACCACAGTGAAATGATGGAATAAAGATTTATTGAGTAATAAAGGAATATCTATCAGTCAACATACCAGCATGGCTAGAGCAGGGGTGAATGTGATGATAGAAATTAAGCATAATGACACCGAGGGGATAGACCATTAATGATAGATGTAATAACTTGATTGTAAGGTGGGTGAGGTAGATTCCTATTATATTCTTACTATAAGCATATGTACTTAGTGATAGCTAAAGATTAACTTCATGTCTATGCATAATTAAGGGACATTATTAAGGAAAAACACAAACAGAGTATGCTATTCCATGTAACCGGGTCCTACTTGTCCTACAAACGGGAGGTGGACTACAAAGGACTCAACGAGGCTGTCACCCTCACGATCTAACACCGATCTAGAAATGTAGGGTGCATCTACAGGCACTACTATGTATAAGCACCACGCTTACATATAGTCTGCTACTTAGCTTTGGTCGACCACTAAGCTAAGCGCTCTACGAGCCTATGCATAAGCATAAAGATAACTTTGACTACTTCTAAATTGTATAATGTAAGCATAAACATGTAGATAAGAACATAGCATGTGTATGGAAGTCTCATAAGATATGAAGGTGTAGATATAATGGCTTACCAAGCCTCCAAGACTAGATCCATAATCTGGACATGAGTCCACTCGACTCTAACTCTCAAGATACTAATCTACTACATTAGAGAGTCTAGACCTAATCCTCCTGGTGTGTTTTGATATTGATCTCTGATGGATTTCTCTGGAGATTGGAGAGATGCCCTTTTGTAGGAGGTAGGGGGTCATTTTATAGGAGGCACCAGGCATCCTGTGGACCCATGAATCCATGGCAATGCTTCATCTGGTCCCTCGATATGAACCGACCTTGATCTACGGCATAGCTTGATTCTAAGAGGCGGTGAAGAACCGATGTACGAAGGAGGGTCTGACAGGTGGGTCCCATAGGTCGGCTGGCCTAGTGGTGGGGCCGACTGCCCCCCCTATCAGCCACTTGGCTCGATCTTCGATGGTAAGTCTTGTATGTCGGTTGTGAGGCCCTGGAAGTCGGTTTCGTCGTGGATAATCTTGATTTACTCTGACGATATGGCCCACTTAGAGCATCTCCTACAGTCCTCCAATACAACTCCCCCAATAAGATGGTATTGGGGTAGCCCAATATTACTTTCTAGGTTTACTAAGGGAGTTGTTGTAGCAGTACCCCAATATATCTCCCCCAATACCCATATAAAAGGTGGGTTCCACAGGTGTATTGGAGAAAATATGGCTGAAAAGTGGTAGTTGGGATGGTCCGCATGGTATTGGGGGAGTTCTATCCCCCCTTTCTTTGAGGGGAGATGAGGGAAATATTGGTGGCCACTAAAAAAAGGGAGAGGTATTGGGAACTGCTGGAGCAAGAAAAAAGTATAACTGTCCCCAATATGACAATTTTATGGGGATAGAGGGAGGTATTGGGGAACTGCTGGAGATGCTCTTAGCCCGTTTTTTGATAAATCGTCCTGCATTTACAGATTCACTAAAACTTGTGGAATTGTACTTATTAGATTAGAATGAGCTCTAAGAGGCTCTTTAACACTTAACCCAAAAACCTAGTTTTGGAGGAAAAAAAAAACTTTTACTGCCTCACAAAAACAACTCACCCTTAATCTATTCTCCTTTTTTTTTTTAAAAAACTACCACTTTTAACCAATTTTGTTGACCTGCTCTGATCAAAAGGTTGCACCATCATGTCACATGCTGCCACCCGTTGTCACGCGGCCTACGCTTAGCCACTAGCCCACCGTAGCCAGCAGTAGCAGCCCAACTAGAAACGGATTGTCAACAAGTTGACAAAGAGGCAGACAACCATAGCCAGCTACAGACACCTATATTCGGGTAGGAATGAATGAGCTATCATCCGATTGACCTGGTTAGGAAACGAGGCTCTATTCAACTACCTGGCCCGGGACAAGTACTTCATTACGTGCATGAGAAAGGTCGCTGAGTTGTTTGGTTGGCGGCCGGTTAGGCAACTTTGCCTGCCAGGCAAAAATCCCAGGCTTTTGATTTTGGTCGCTGAATAGTCAGAATAGCTATATGGCAAGATTAGCTGTCTGCCACGCTTCGAACTAAACAGGTGCGTCGTGCGCACAAAGGGGATATGTGAGTTGGGAAAGGGCAACAGCACATGTCATATTGGATTGGGGAAGAACGCGTCTCACCGGCTCTAGCGTGAAAGATGGGATGTGGGAGAGCTTGTTTGTTGGCCACCTATTGGAGCATTGTTTTTTTCAAAAAAAAAACTAAAAGATAGCCAAGGGGAATCTTAGCTTGTTGGAGGGCTCTGTCTCAAAGAGCGCACAACAAATTTTTTTTTTTAAAAAGAGTGAAAGCGAATCCCCTGTGATGATATGCTACCAAAATTTAAGAATAACAATTATTTCTAGGATTATTATAGAAACGAAAACTACTAAACCGCGGAGTCATTCCATAGACTTGTTGTCCATGTCCATGGAGATGGAGCAGCCAAACGGGTTGTGGTCTCGTGGAAGTCAGTCAGTCGTGGCTCGTGGGAGACGGGACGGTTGTGTTGAGGGTGGGGACCACATCCACAGCACCTTCTCTTTGCGCCGAAAAGACCTGGTGGGCCCCCCACCGACTGATGATTCTTGACGACTCCTTCCCTCCCGCCTATATATATTGGCCCTCGCGGTGCAGCTTCCAGCTTCAGAGTGAGCAGATGACAAATACACAGCAGCTCAGACTCGCCGTGCGAACCACGTGACAAAGGAAGTTGCGTGGACGGCGAGGCAGCCAGACGGCCGTTCCCTCTCCCTTGCCGCCGCGGCCATTTCTTCGCATCTCCTCGCCGGCCGTCGTCCCTGGACGCAAAGAAAGGTTCCCCCATCGTTGTTGCGCACCTGTTCTCTGAGATCTGCGATGTTCGTTCGATTTCTTGGATTGTTTGGAGCTTTTTTTTCTTTTTCTCGAACGCGCGGTGAATTCTTTTCGAGCGACACGGTTCGTGCTCCGTTTGCTCGTAAGCCATAGCTAAAAGTATCGTTTGCTGATTTGTTGTTGGAGAAAAATATTGTTAGGTAGTCTTATAAGGTAAGCGAACGTGGCGTTGGTTTTGGGATCTGCTGGGTAGACGGGGTCCAGCTAATGTGGTCTACGGCTACCTCTCGTCTCCCTCGTCTGGGGGTGATTGGAAAGGGACTCGCCGGGTTGTTTCTTGGCTCTTTCGCTTTGTCTCGCACGGTCAGTTCTTCTTGATGATTACTCCTGTTTCTTGTTTTGGCTTTGTTCTGTTACAGAAGAAGCTCTTTTGGACACACGGTTTCTTTGAATCGGTGGGGTTCTTAATTTTCATATGTATATGTGTTTTTATTTAAAAAAGACTGTCCGATGAGAACGAGGTTTTCTGGCCTACCACATGCTCTTTGTTGGTTCCGCTCCGTGAGTCGTGGGGGTTTCGATGAGGAACAGTGCTCCATATTTTTATATCCAAAAAAATCTTTAAGTTGTCGCAGTTCTTTCTTCTCCCGGAATTAAAGTTTAACAATCATTTATGGAATTTATGATGTGAGTCTTCTTTCACATTTCTTATTGGATTCTTGGATATTAACGTCGAACGGTGAAATGCGGTTTGTTTCCCTATTTCCCCGCCAGCGCTTCCATCTTTATTTCCGTCTCCGTTGCCTTACTTTCTTTTCCTGCGAGTTGCGACTGTGTTGTACTAGTAGTTGATCATGGGCGCTTGATCTTTCCCAGGGGCGTGAGGCTTGAGGCGTGAGCAACTGCCATGGCGAGTCATCAGCGCGGAGGAGGTAGGGTTGGCGGCCGGGGTCAGGCGAACCCCAACGTCTCTCAGGGCCAGGGGGGCCGGGGCTACGGCGGTGGTGGCGGGCGTGGCGGCCAGTACTACGGCGGCGACGACAGCGGAGGCCGCGGCGGCGGACGTGGTGGCGGCAGGGGCGGTGGTCGTGGCTTCGACGGCCGCGGCGGCGGCGGCGGGTACCAGGAAGGGCGTGGCGGGGGCCGAGGCGGCGGCGGATTCCAGGAAGTACGTGGCGGAGGCCGAGGTGGCGGCGGAAGGACGTGGCGGGGGCCGAGGTGGTGGTGGCGGCTACTATGAAGGACGTGGCGTGGGCCGAGGTGGTGGTGGCGGCTACTATGAAGGACATGGCGGAGGCCGAGGTGGCGGCGGCGGCTACCAGGGCGGCGGCCGAGGTGGTGGCGGCGGCTACAACGACGGCCGTGGCGGGGGCCGAGGTGGTCGCGGATACCAGGGACAGGGAGGCAGCGACTACGGCCGCGAGCGCGGGCTTGGAGGTCTGCAACCTCCACGTCCTGATCTGCGCCAAGCCGATCCGCCGCTCGCGGATCGCTACGCGGCCGGCGCCGCCGCGCTGAGGGAGAAGTTCAAGACGATGGACATCTACCGCGACGCGCCCATGTTCCCAGCGCGCCCGGGCTTCGGCGCCGTGGGGACGCCGTGCGTCGTCAAGGCCAACCACTTCTTCGTCGGCCTCGTCGACAAGGGCCTGCACCACTACGACGTAAGACCGCTCTCCGCGCCGCGTTGTCAATCGATCATGGCGTTCATCTGATCACCGTTTCCCACCTTGCTATGGTGGTTTGTGTGTTTCTGCAGGTGACCATCTCACCAGAGACGACGCTAAAGGGCGTATACAGGCAAGTCATGTCGAAGCTGGTTTCCGAGAACAGGCAGACCGAGCTTGGCGGCCGCCTACCCGCATACGACGGCCAGAAGTCACTGTTCACCGCCGGCGAGCTGCCCTTCAAAAGCAACGAATTCGTGGTCACCTTGCCTGGCAGGGTGGAAAAGAGGTACAAGGTCGTGATTAAGCATGCCACGGCGGTCAGCCTGCACCAGCTGTTCATGCTCATGGCAGGCTACCCTACGGACATCCCGACGCAGGCGCTGCAGGTGCTCGACATTGTGCTCAACGAACGCAACTCCATGGAGTAAGTACTTGGCTTGGGTTTATTTTACACCTCTCAGCGTTCTCGATTTGATATGACACCGTTTTCATTTTGTTATTTTGACAATGCACAGGTACGTTGCAGTTGGCCGGTCCTTCTTCTCACCACTCATAGTGCCAGAGGGACCCAAGAATCTTGGCCTGGGTGTGGAGGGATGGAAGGGTTTCTATCAGAGCATCAGGCCGACACAGAAGGGCCTGTCTGCGATCGTAGGTATGATTTCACTTGTACATTGGAATTCTTATGATCTGTCTAAGTTTTCTGTGATATCTTGAGAAAACACGTCTGGGATGCTTATATGGTAGAAATCATCTGCACTGTGCAATTTGATTTCATATGGCTGGTTGACATATAGTGAGATCAACTGGAACGTCTGTACTTTTGTGTTTCAATTGAAAGGAGTCTTTCACATTCCAGTTCAAATTTTTGTATGTTTTATTAAGATGTCTAACGGCTGCATATTTCCATTGCAGACACTTATTCAACAGCTTTCATTCGACCCATGCCACTGATTGAATTTGTGATGGAGATTCTGAACAAAGATAGCAGGACCTTTAGAAGTATTACTCCCATGGATCTTGCCAAGGTAGGGTTTTTTTTTTCATTTCTAAGCTACAAAGAGCATTGTGCATGAGATGGATTTGGCTCTTCTGAATTTGCAGCTCAAGAAAGACCTCAGGGGTGTGAGGATTGAAGTCACACACCGAGGAGACGCATGCCAGAAGTACAAGATTGCCAGCCTGACAACCAGTCCTCCGTCTTTACAGTTGTAGGACCTCACTCCTTTTCCTCTATGTTGAAGAGAACATCCTTGTCTCCCTAGTTCAGAAATGCAGGGATCAAACTTCTCGATGTTAGCGTTTATTTTGATACTTTTTCTTCAAATCAACAGCTTTGAATCGTCCGCTGGAGTTCAGAAGTCTGTCGCAGATTACTTCAGAGAGGCATACAAGCTGGAAATGCACTACGATTTTCTCCCATGCCTCCAAGTTGGCAGTGATCAGAGGCCGAACTACCTCCCTATGGAGGTTACTAACTATGGACTTGAACTGTGGCCTATGCTTGTCAAGGGCATCGAACCCTGACTGGCCGGACCGCGGCTACGCAGTTCGTAGCCGTTGGCCGTCTTCTCCGGTGAGGTTATCCTCCTCAACCACAGGCTTAACAGAGAGAGAGATTAGGAATATAATTCTTTCTTGATTGATTTGTTCAGCGATCACAAGCATATATGGCCAATGGCCCAACCGAAAAGGGGAAGGCTCTCCCTGATTCTAGGAATTTCCAAAACAACTCACTAATCTAAGTTTCTATCTTTAGCCACTAGAGGCTAACCCACCCATGCAGCGCTTTGCCTAGCAGCGCTGGCCGGCGCTCCAGCACCGCATGGACGTGACGCGCGCGTCAGCGCGCCTTTAGCATATGTGCGTCCGCACATGACATCTCTCCCCGCCTCGAAGTCCAGCTCGTCCTCGAGCTGAAAGGAAGGGAACCGAGCACGGAGGTCGTCCAGATCCTCCCATGTAGCCGAAGCAGGTGGTTCTCCCTGCCATTCAACGAGCACCTGGCGCACTCCCTGGGCCAGCCGAGCTCGCGTCACCCGGGCAGGTGCAGGCACCACAGCACCGTGCAGGAGCGGAGGCAGCAGGGGTGGAACGGCCGGCGGGGTACCGACAAATTTCTTGAGGACGCCGACGTGGAACACATCATGAAGGCGAGCGCCGGGAGGAAGCTGTAGCCGCACAGCCACCTCGTTGATGAGCTCCGCCACCTGGTACGGCCCGACGTATCGCGGCTTGAGCTTCCCTGTTGCCGAGCGTGGAAGGGATGCTGCTGCCCGCTGCCGAAGGCGAAGAAGAGCCCAATCGAGGACACCGGCCTGTGGTGCTGGTCGTAGACGCGCTTCTGGACAGCCTGTGCCTGTTCAAGGCGATAGTGGATGTCGTCGAGGAAGGCAGCGCGCTCCTCCATCTCCTGGGCGACCGCTGCAACGCGGGTCTCGCCGGGCTCATAGGAGCGGATGGTCGGGGGGTCCCGGCCATAGACTACCCGAAACGGAGTTTCGCGGAGCGATGACTGATAGGCGGTGTCGTAGGTGTACTCCGCCCATGGCAGCCAACGGAGCCACTGCCGGGGACGGTCGCCGGTGAAGCAGCGCAAGTACATGACGATGACCCGGTTGGCGGCCTCGGTCTAGCCGTCCGTCTGCGGGTGAAAGGCGGACGACATGTAGAGCTTCATCCCAGTGAGCCGCATGAGCTCCTGCCAGAACGCCGAGGTGAACACTGGATCACGGTCCGAGACGATGGACTACGGAACGCCATGGAGACGAACGATGTCGGCGAAGAAGGCGTGAGCGACTGACTCGGCGGTGTAGGGGTGCGCCAGGGGGATGAAATGGCAGTACTTGCTGAAGCGATCCACCACGGAGAGGATGACCGTTTTGCCTTGCACCTTGGGCAGCGCCTCGATGAAGTCGATGCCGATGTCAGCCCACACAGCGGACGGAACCGGCAGTGGCTGCAGCAGGCCGGCCGGCCTGAGGTGGTCGGACTTGTACTGCTGACAGGTGACGCAGGCCTTCATGAAATCCTGCACCAAACGACGCATGGTGGGAAAATGAAAATCCCGCCGGAGCCTGTGGAGTGTGCGGTGGATGCCCTCATGGCCGTCGTTGTGGACCGCGGCCAAGATCTCCTGCAGCAGCGGCGACGCCGAGGGAATGTACAGGCGGCCGTCGAAGGCGACCATGCCGTCCACCAGCGCCCACGAAGCGGCGCGGGTGCCAGCTCGGACCTCATCGTGGATGGCGACCAGGGCCGGATCAGTGGCCTGGGCGTGGCGGAGGCGCTCGATGAAGTCAAAGCGGGGCGCCGAAATAGCCATCACCTCCCCTTCGTCATTGTCGCGATGGGAGAGGGCGTCGGCAACGACGTTCGTGGCGCCCGACCGGTACTCCACCGAGAAATCGAAGCCCAGGAGCTTGCCGACCCAGTGGTGCTGAGGGATCGTGGCGAGGCGCTGATCGAGGAGGTACTTCAGGCTGTAGTGGTCGGTCTTGACGATGAAGCGCCGCCCCCAGAGATACGGGCGCCAGTGCTGTACCGCCTGGACGAGGCCGATGAGCTCGCGCTCGTAGGTGGCTAGCGAGCGGTGGCGAGGCGCCACAGGCCTGCTGAAGAAGGCGACCGGATGGCCCTCCTGGACCAGGACCGCGCCGAAGCCGAACGTCGACGCGTCGCACTCGACGGTGAACAGCTTGGCGAAGTCGGGCATGGCGAGGACGGGGGCGGACGTGACGGCGGCCTTGAGCGCTGTGAATGCCGCGGCCGCCGCGTCGTCCCAGGAGAAACCCTCCTTCTTGAGTAGGGCCGTCAGCGGTGCAGCGATCGCCCCGTAGTTGTGGACGAACTTGCGGTAGTACCCGGCGAGGCCGAGGAAACCGCGCACAGCCCGGGGCGAACGTGGAGCCGGCCAATCATGGATCGCCTGCACCTTGGCCGGGTCCATGGCCACACCCACCGCGGATATGACATGGCCGAGGTAGGCGACGGAGGAGGCACCAAAAGAGCACTTGGTGCGCTTCACGAAGAGTTGGTGGCGGCGTAGTTCGTCGAGGACGGCCCGGAGGTGGCGAAGATGATCAGCCCACGTCTTGCTGTAAATCAGAATATCGTCAAAAAATACCAGGAAAAAGCGGCGCAGGAACGGGCGGAGCACGTCATTCATCAAGGCCTGGAATGTCGCTGGGGCGTTGCACAGCCCGAACGCCATCACCAGGAACTCGTACAGGCCGTCGTGGGTGCGGAACGCCATCTTGTGCACGTCCTCCGGGCGCATGCGCACCTAGTGGTACCCGGACCGGAGGTCCAGCTTGGTGAAGAACTTGGCGCCATGGAGCTCGTCGAGTAGCTCATCGACCACCGGGATCGGGAAAGCATCCTTGACGGTGAGCGCGTTCAGCGCCCGATAGTCGACGCAGAAGCGCCACGAACCATCGGGCTTCTTAACGAGGAGGACGGGCGATGAGAACGGCGAGTCGCTGCGGCGGACGATTCCTTGATCAATCATGGCGGCACACTGCCGCTCCAACTCGTCCTTGTGAGCCGCGGGGTACCGATACGGGCGGACGGCGACCGGTTGGGCGTCGGGCTTGAGAATAATGCGGTGGTCGTGCGCACGCTTGGGGGGCAGACCGACGGGGTCCGCGAAGAGCCCCCCAAACGAGAGCAACAACGCCTCTAGGAGGGGACCGGCCTCTGTTGTTGCGCCCAGGGCCGGCACAGAGGGGCTGGCCACGCCGGTCCAGGAGACGGGGCGCCCCTAGCGCTGGAAGGACATGCGCCGGCGGCCGAGGTCCCAAACAATTGGCCCCAACTCGCCGAGCCACCTAGTGCCGAGGACGACGTCGTACCCGGCCAGTGGCATGACGTAGAGGTCGGCCGGGAACGACTCGCCATCGATGAGCAGGGCCGCGTCGCGGATGACGCCGGCACAGGTGACCCACTCGCCATTGGCGACCAAGGCTGTGAGGTGGGGCCATTGGCGGAGGGGTAGACCGGAGCGCCGCGCCGCCTCCTCCGAGATGAAGTTGTGCGTGCTGCCGGAGTCGAGGAGGGCGACGAGGGACGCGGCGCCGATTGCCACGGCGATCTGCATGGTGCCCGCCATGGGAAACCCATTCACGGCCTGCAGGGAAAAACAGGGCGCCTCGGCGTCGTGCTCCGCATCGCCAGCGGCGTCCGCAGCGTCTTCGAGCTCCACGCCTTCAAGGAAGAAGAGGCGCCGGCAAAACCTGTTATGGCCACGGGTATATTTTTCATTGCAATTAAAACAGAGACCCAGACGGCGCCGTTCCGCCATCTCGTCCGGGGTGAGGCGCCTCTGGTTGCCCTCGCTGTGACCCTGCTGGGCGGCCACCGGAGGGGCAGGGAGCGCCAGTGGCTGCTGGGGCGCCTGGAGCGCTGGCCGGGGAGCGGGAGCGGGAAGGAGGCCACGCGGGGGCGCCTGAGGGGGAGGCTGCACCGGGCGGTCGATCTCCATCAACTCCACTTGGCGCGCCAGGCTCATGGCGGCCGCGAGCGTCTTCGGGTTGTGGATGCGGACGACGTGGCTGAGCGGCGGCAGGAGTCCGCCGGTGAAGAGCTGGACGCGCTGAGCCTCATCAAGACGACCCGCGCGAGGCAGGAGGGCCTGGAAGCGATTGGAGTACTCCTCCACGGTCCCTGTACGCCGGCACTCGGCAAGCTCGAACAGCGGAGCCGAACGGAGGGGAGGCCTGAACCGCAAGTGCAGGAGCTCTTTGAATCGCCCCCACGGCGGCGTGCCCTCGTCCTCCTGGAGTTGGAGGTACCAGAGTTGCGCGACGTCCTCCAAATTGTACGAGGCCATCCACACGCGCTCCTCCGCCATGGTGCGCTGTTGGCGAAAATAGGATTCGCACTTGTTGATGAAGAGCATTGGATCAGTCTTGCCGTCGTAGCGGGGAAAATCCAATTTTTGGAATTTTGGGGGGCGATCAAGATCGCGCGGCCCCTCCGGGCGGCCGTCGGCGCCGCTGTCCGACGACGAGGCCGACTTCTCCTTCATAGCCTCCATGTCGGCCTTCATGGTTGTCATCTCCATGGTGATGGATTTCAACATCTCCATCACATCGGCGATGGTGGGATGGCTCATGGCTGCTGGCTGCGGCGCGGAAGCGGTGGAGGACTGCGGCGATGGTGGAGGGCTAGGGTGGTGGCCGGCGGCTGTGGAAGAATGGGTGGAGCGCGTGGGAGAGGACCGACGTGACCGTGATACCAGGTTGTCAAGGGCGTCGAACCCCTGACCGGCCGGACCGCGGCTACGCAGTTCGTAGCCGTCGGCCGTCTTCTCCGGTGAGGTTATCCCCCTCAACCGCAGGCTTAACAGAGAGAGAGATTAGGAATATAATTCTTTCTTGATTGATTTGTTCAGCGATCACAATCATATATAGCCAATGGCCCAACCGAAAAGGGGAAGGCTCTCCCTGATTCTAGGAATTTCCAAAACAACTCACTAATCTAAGTTTCTATCTTTAGCCACTAGAGGCTAACCCATGCAGCGCCTGCCCAACGCGCTCAGCGCGCTCAGCCGCGCGGTGGACGTCGCGGGCGCGTCCGCGCCTGGCATATGTGCGTCCGCACATGACAATGCTTCAGCACTCTTTCCCTTCTATATTGTCTGCTCTTGTTTCTCAATTTCCATTTGGATTTCAGGTTTGCAAGATAGTATCTGGACAGCAATACCGGAAGAAGTTGGATAGCCAACAAGTCTCTAAACTAATGGACTCAACCTGCCAGCGCCCATCTGACCGTGAGAACAACATTCGTCAGGTTCTTGCTATTTCTGCATTTTTTATTCTGTTTTATCTGATTTAAACTGTGGGTAAACAAACTTAAAGTTTTCTAAATCTCTTTTGCTTAGGTTGTTGAGCACAATGACTACAATAGAACTGAGCGTGCAAGTGAATTTGGCATGGAGGTTGACTATCGTCCTACTTCAGTTCAGGCTAGAGTTCTGCCAGCTCCCACTGTAATCCTTCTTCCATGTGTCATGCAGTTCTGTTTTGTTTTTGCAAATGTGATGCATTTTTTATTATAACCATGTTCTATTTTTGTTTCTGTAGCTGAAGTACCGTGGCACTGGATCTGAAAGTTTGTGTTGTCCAAAGGATGGGCAGTGGAACATGATTAAAAAGGTACGTCATGAGCAGTTGAACAACCATTGACATTGCAGCATTTTGAAAACCTTGTCCAATTCAATGTGCGGTGAACATAGTTTTGTCTATGGACAAGTAAATCCTTTCTGTGCTAAATATCATGATTTATAGGTGAAGCTTGACTGGTTGCTTGAGTTTTGTTCTCTCTATACTAGGGGTCTCTTCTGTCATTACCCCAATAGGCTAGCTACATGTTCACTCAAGTGGTCCTATTTCTTGCACTGGAATAATGGAATTTGTGAGGGTAAATATATGTTACTAATTTTTTTCATTGCCTTCACATTCTATTTTGTTATGTGCAGCAGGTAGTACATGGTGCAAGGGTGGGCAACTGGGCCTGCGTTAACTTTTGTCATGAATTGCCCAGAGATGTTGTAGGTAAATTCTGCTCTGATCTGGTTAAATGGCCTCGTACTACTGGAGTGGTAATATACATTTACGTTATGCCTTTGATTGCCTTATCATCAAAGAACATTCTTGCATGACTCCCAGTTTACCATTTCACTCTGGTTTCAGGACATGGATAACTTGAGACTTCCAATATACCTTGTTCGTCCTGAACAAGTTGAAACTGATCTTCATAGGCTGTGTCAGGATGCTCGGAACAAGCTAAGAGTGCAAAAGATAGATCTTTTGCTTGCTATACTGCCAGAGAAAAACGGCAACTTATATGGTAATATTTCTTACAGCAAACTTTCTTTCTTCCCTGATTATCACATATATGTCATTCCTGACTACTCTGAACAACAGGTAATTTCAAAAGGATCTGCGAGACAGAGATTGGTATCATGTCGCAGTGTTGCCTGGATAAAAATGTTAGAAGTGCAGGTCCTCCGTACTTTGCTAATGTTGCTATTAAGATCAATGCCAAGGTTAATCTCAACTAGATCTCTTCACAAAATTTGTTGAGCAACATGATACTAATATATTCACTCTCCGCAGTTTGGAGGAAGGAACTTAGAATTTGCTAATCCCAAAGAAAGCTTACCGGTTGTTTCGATTGAACCAACAATTATATTTGGTGCCGATGTCACTCACCCTGCTGCTCTAGATGATACTGCCCCTTCCATTGCTTCTGTAAGCTCTTTTCTGTTTACAATAGGGATAGTATCATCTCATTACAATAACACATTCTGCCTGGTTCCATGTAGGTTGTTGCCTCCCAAGACTGGCCCAAGGTGGCTAACTATAATGGTATTGCCCGTGCACAAGGTCACCGTAAAGAGCTCATCGATGGCCTGGAAGACATTGTCAAGTACCACCATCGTGATCTCTGAAATTTAAATGACACCCCATTGAGAGTTTACACTCGATTGAGAGTTCCTTAATTTACAAAATATTTGCAGGGAACTCCTACTTGCATTTGAGGAACGGTCTAAGCAGAGACCCAAGCAGCTGATCTTCTACAGGTTAGTAACTTAGTATCTTGTTGCTTTTCTGACTGATGCCATGGTAATTGACAAACCCACCCAACAGAATTTGATTTCTTCCTGTGCGGCCATGCTGGTATCAAGGTACGTGTGTAGCATGTTGCAACTAATTTAGACATTTTTTTTTCAAACAAGTGCTGGAACAAGAAATCCCAGAGATAGAGAAGGTAAAAACAAATTGAGAGAATGGCACGTCAAGTGTTCCCTCAGTTACAACATTCATACTTAATACCTACCCTTCAGGCATGGAAAGCTCGTTACAATGAGAAGCCAAAGATCACCTTCATAGTGGTGCAGAAGAGGCACCACACAAGGCTCTTCCCAAATGATCGCCAATGGACAGACAGGAGTGGAAATATTCTACCTGGTTAGGAGTGCAGGCGTGTTTGCTGCTGTTTTTAGTGTGTTTTTTAACAATGATTTTGCTCAAATGTTTGTGGAATTTGCAGGCACTGTAGTTGATAAGAATATCTGCCACCCAACAGAATTTGATTTCTTCCTGTGCAGCCATGCTGGTATCAAGGTACGTGTGTAGCATGTTGCAACTAATTTAGACATTTTTTTTTCAAATGCATCTGAAGATTAGCTGTTTGTGAAATTGCAGGGAACAAGCCGTCCTACCCATTACCATGTGCTGCGAGATGACAATAAGTTCACTGCAGATGCTCTGCAGTCTCTCACATATAACTTATGCTACTTGTAAGCATGCCCTTCCCTGCCATCTTGTTTTTTTGCACAACTCATTTGTCTGACGGGTCTGTCTTGTATTTTCTTTCAGGTATTCAAGCTGCACTCGCTCTGTGTCAATCGGTACGTCCTCTCGTGTCATTGAGAACTTTAGTTATGTATTTTCCAGTGCAAAACATTGTTATGGATTTTTGTATTTAATTTAATAAAACGGCTGAGTTCTGTTCAACATAAATAACATAAATTAATTAATGAATGGAAAAAGGGGAAAACTAACCTTCTTTTGAATTGACAGCTCCTCCCGCATACTACGCCCACAAGCTAGCGTTCCGTGCCCGCTTCTACGTCAACCAAGGCTCCTCCGATGTGGCGACAAGTGTCGGCTCTTTTGGTTCATCTGCTCCCGCTGCTGCTGCTGCTGGTCCGAATCCACTTCCGGAGATCAAGGGTGAACTGAAAAGGCTCATGTTCTACTGCTAGTCCTTGACCACTGAAAACCTCCTGAACAAGGCTTTGCTACTGAAGTTTCAAGTTCCTTGACTGTGCTCTGAAGGAGACTTGGATAATAATGTCTGCACTGGATGCATTTTTCTGTTCGCTGTTACTTAAAGTACTGCTATAATTGCAGTGACTGCTTTGTGTTAGTTTGTGGTTTGCATTTTATTTCATAAACAATCGAAGTCTTTGCTCAAGTTTAATACTATATCCAGTTATTCAGAATGACAGTCGTGTATTCGGCATGCATGTACTAGTTTAGCTTGCAGTCCTATTAAGGTTTCCCTGGAAGTAGTTGCATGAATTTTATTCATCACTTTTTTGACGGCTAGGGGTAATCCACCAATATAGTTTGTCTTCTGTCTCATTATTTTTTTCATGAAATATATATCCTGATAACATAATTATTTGAACACCTAGATATTGCCATATGTTTTTAAAAAAATAGTCAAAATTAGAAGTTTAAGATAAGTCAAATCTAAAGTGACCTATAATTTGGTAAAAAAGGACGATTCATCCTTAGCAATTGACTATAATTAGCGTCATGCTAACTTCTTCCGTCCCTAAATATCTATCGTAAGATGTCCCGAAATAACTGTTGTCGCATAATTGCCGAGATCAATCTCTTGCGTCGGGCTACAGGAGCCGGGGGCTCCTACGCCACGCGACGCCGCCATGGCTCTCCGGCGCTTTTATAGCCACAAGTGTTAGAGAAATGGCGCTAGTTTCAAATTTTAGTTTGCTTCGTCTGTGTAAAAATGGAGCTAGGTTTTTTTTTGGCGTCAAGTGGTGTTTGCCGCCAAGTGAAATGCATGTTTTTGTGTCCTCTTTGATTTATTCAAGACCAAAATACTGCCACTGCAATCGTAAATGTGAAAAAGTGGGTGTGAACAGTGATTTATTTAATGTAAAAAATCGGTGGTGTGTGTGGCAAGCGTGAGTCTTCACGTAAAAATATAGTATTAATGGCATATCCATCCAAATACGCAAAAGATAAATCATTGATATGTAGGGGCATTTAGGTCTTTTGCTATTTGCATTGATTCCTGAGTCCAATAATCCTCCAACAACATATATTTAGAGATGAAGGGAATATGCCTCACTAAAGGATTGGCGAAGTTATCGGGCGACGGGTCGACCCGTCTTCTTCGCCGCGACGCCCCCTCCCTCGCGACCTCTGCTCCACCGCACGCACCCCTCATCCGTCGTCCCCTCTCTCGCGCATCCACCACCGGCGGCCGGCGGCTCCCGCCGCCTCGGCCTCGTCGTCCAACCCACCTCCCGCCACTACCTCCTCGACCCTGCCCTCCCTAACCACAGGACAGCCGTCGGTGAACTCCGCCCCGATGCCCTCGCTGGCGTCATCCTCGCCCCGACCCCCGCCAGCGGCGGCCGGCGGCTCCCGCTGCCTTATTGCGCCACCTACCCCCCTCCCCCGCCCCTCGGCCTCCTCCCCTAATCACAGGGCGCCGGTGATCTCCGCCGCGACACCCCCACCAGCCCCACCCAACCACCGTCTGCCGCCGCCGTCTCGCACGCCTCCACCGCCATGTCACGACCTCCATCCCCAAAACCTCCTATAGCTGGCAGAGATGCCATTCCCTAATGCTAGAACGCTAACCCCGGCAAACTCTCGTCTCCGACGCCGGCGGCTGGTTCATGGGTTCATGGCCCGCGTGGTCGCACGCTCGGCACCTAGCGTGACCAGACGCGCGCTAGACTTTGCGTAAGCGCGTGTTTAGTTGCTACCCAAAATCCAAAAAAGTGCTACAGTATCCATCACATCGAATCTTACGATACGTGCATGGAGCATTAAATGTAGACGAAAAAAACTAATTGCACAGTTTGGTTGGAAATTACGAGACGAACGTTTTGAGCCTAATTAGTCCATGATTGAACACTATTTGCCAAATAAAAACGAACGTGGTACAGTAGCCTAAATTCCCAAATTCAGATAAGTAAACACGCTCTAAATGATGCGGTGAACTAAAACCTCGCAAAACTCACCCAGCAGGCTGCACGGATTGCTCACAGCAGCCAGTCGAGTGGCCCATCTAAGCCCACAACACCGCACGCACACGGCACACACGAGCTTGCCTATTCAAGTACTCAATGCAGACCAGTATTATAGCTATTTGTTGTGTATGTTCCCGTGTTTCCTTCTGCTGATTTTGTTGGCAATGCCTTCCAGGACTGTACAGGAACATGGTTACTTTATGGTTTCGTGCAATGGTGGGCTTAACCAAATGCAAGCTACAGTAAGCAATTGGTAAAACCTTATTTGTATTGATTCAGCGGCTTGTAAAATATAGAACTGTGGATATTTAATGGCTGTAATGATATTGACTTTGGTGTTGATGATATTTGATGGATGTAATGATCTGAACTTGATGTTCAACCGTAATGTTTGTGATATTGTAATGTACTTGATGCTGCTGGATATCTGCATTTGTACATGTTGATTTGAATTTGATTATTTGTTAATTTGTTTGTGGGTTGGTCTAGGCAGATTTGATATGGGCCTGGATTGTAATTAATGTTGGGCCTCAATGATAAAAAAACACATCAATTTGTAGCTGGGCTAAAAATATTTGGATTAATTGGGCTGATTTAAAAAATAATAATGAAAAAAGCCCATGCTATATGGACCAAATGTTAATTGCCACATCATCAACCATTGTCATTTGCCACGTCATCTGCCACGGACAAGGGCTATGTCACCATATGTTGTGACAAGTTTAGCACTGTCACAAGTTAGTGACAGACTGACAGGAGAACTGTTGTTACTGACATTGTCCTTTGATGGTCATCATAGAAGCTGGTCAGTCTATGATAGAAAACAAGTTTCATCATCATAATCTGACTGTCACAAAAGCCCAAATTTCTTATACTCTCTCCACTCCGAATTATAAGTCGCTTTGACTTTTTTGTCATCCATTTTTCTATGTATCTAGACATAAAATGGATGACAAAAAGTCAAAGCGACTTATGGGCTTGTTCGGCTGGTATTAAAGCCGGCTGAAGCTGATTTGTTGTGAGAGAAAAATATTATAGATTTTAGCCGATAAGTCAGCCGATAAGTTCGCCCTGTAATTTGGAACGGATGGAGTACGTGCTCGATGGGTGTCTGAATCTCCTCTGCTTATTTTTAGCCGTCAAATAATTTTCGAAAAGACACGGAGGAGCTCAGAGAAGCTCTCATGCGTGGACGAGCAGTAACATGTCCTCTCCTCTCTGTTGGGAGAAGGAAGTTAATTTGCTGACGTGTCTATTTTCATCGTTTCGTTGGTTATACTACTGGGGATCAGAGGAGGGCAATTCACATCAAATTTCAAAAAAAGTACTACAGTGAAAAACAAAAATTACATTACTTTTCTGGGAAAGTTACCATGGGACGCTAGCTCTATATAAACCGGGGGTGCACGCACGCCGTGCTGAACTGATTGCCTCCTCCACGTTCCTTTTTCTTCTCCTCCAAGTACGTAACAAAACTCCTGCAGTCCTGCGTGTGAACTCCTGCAGTTGCGCCCATGGCGAGGATTCACCGTAGCAGAGGGCGCCGCGGCGGCCGACAAGCCAACCCGCGGGTCGATCAGGCGCGGGGCTCCGGCGGCAGCGGGCGAGACGAGGCGAACCCGAGCGGCGCTGAGGCTGGGAACCGCAACGGGCACGACTACGACGACCACTCGCGCGTCGGCCAGAGCCAGCCCACCGATCCGCGCCAAGCCGGGCCACCCCTCGCGGAGGAGCCCGCCGCGCTGCTGTGGAAGGAGTTCGAGGTGCTCGGCATCCACGTCCGCCGCGCCAAGCCCGTGTTCCCGCCGCGCCCAGGGTACGGCGCCGCAGGGACGCCGTGCGTCGTCAGGGCCAATCGCTTCCTCGGCCGTCTCGTCGACGAGGACCTGAAGTCCCTGCACCAGTACAACGTAAGTGCCCACTCTTCGTTCGTTGTTGGCTTTGATCTGATCTCACCTAGCGCCATTGCCGTGGGCTCCCGTGTTTGTGGTGGTTCGTTTCGTTGTAGGTGACCATTTCGCCAGAGCCGACGACCAAGGGCGCGTACAGGGAGGTCATGACGAAGTTGGTGTCCGAGAACCAGCACACGGAGCTCGGCGGCCGCTTCCCGGCGTACGACGGCTGTGACTCGCTCTTCACCGCGGGCGCGCTGCCGTTCGGCACCAAGGAGTTCGAGGTCACCCTCTCTGCAGGCGGCGACAAAAGGTATGTAAACTCTGCTTCTCCCTAGTTGGCCGCCGCGGAGATGCGAATATACGATACAATTGCTCGACAAATTGTGCAGGATGGACAGGAAGTACAAGGTGGTGATCAATCATGCCACAGCGGTCAGCCTGCTGCAGCTGAGGATGCTGTTGGCGGGCTACCCCACTGACATCCTAGCGCAGGCGCTGCAGGTCCTCGAGACCGTGCTGGGTGACGTCCTCTTCAACGAACGGGACATAGAGTAATTGACGAAACATTCACCGTCTCTGAGTATCTCACTGTGTTTATGATTTTGGATGATAAATGTTCTTCGTCTGGGCTGTGAACAGACGCGTCCCGATTGGCACCAATGGTCATACACTGGGTGTTGAGGCATGGAAGGGGCTCTATCAGAGCACCAGGTCAACACAGGACGGCTTGTTTCTGATTGCAGGTCAGATATCAGTTCAATACTGAACGGGGTTTTCCGTTTTCCTTTTCAGTTATGTACAGTATGGCATAGGATGTTTGGATAGCAGAACTAGCCAGATAGGGGAAATTTGGATAAAATATGTACTTGTGTAAATTCATTTATGTGGTCGGTGGAGTGGAAATAATATCTATTTCAGATCATTTGGACGCTGTTCTTTCATGTGATTGCTTTAAAGAAAAACTTTGGGTTGCACTTGTACATGGCTACTAGACTACTAGTAATATTGCAGTTTAGAGCTTGTGTCTTTGCTAAATTTGTAATGTGCTGTAATTTTTCCATTGTAGACGTGTCCTCATCAGTTTTCGTTCAACCCCTGCTGCTGATTGACTTCGTTCAGAAGACCCTAAAGATAGATATCGTGGATAGGAACTTGACTGAACCTGAGTATGATAAGGTATCCACGCTTTCTCCTGCCTTGATACAAAATGCAATGTGCAAAATAACTTCAGATGTATGATGTTGTTTTCTGAATTCAGCTCTTGAAGGCCCTCAGGGGTGTGAAGATTGAAGTCACACACAGAGGTAATAAACGCCGTAGGTACAGAATTACTGGCTTGTCAGTGAAGCCTATTAATGATTTGAGGTAGGATTGCTCTACTTTGCATTTATGTTCAACTTAGACTCTCTATTTCTGAATTATATGTTGCCATCAAATTCTGCAATCAGCACTTCTAATAAAATGTTTCTTGGATCCTTAAAATATCAGTTTTGAATCAACGAGTGGAGCTACAAAGACTGTCATTGATCACTTCAGAGAAAGGTACAACCTGGACCTGAAATACAAATCTCTCCCATGCATCGATGTTGGCAGTGAGCAGAAGCCAATTTATCTTCCTATAGAGGTTGGTAATTATGGACTTCTCAACTTCAACATGATATATTATGCTTTTATATTCCTTACTTGTCCATAGATTCTGCTGCTATTTTGAATGTCAATTTGAATTTTAGGTTTGCAAGATAGTTCCCAGGCAGTGTTACCAGAAAAAGGTGGAAGACAGTCAGGTTTCTACTCTAAGAAAGTCAGCCTCCATCCAGCCTGAACCGGAGCAATCCAGTCGTCAGGTTCATGATCTCACTGCACTTTGTGTAATATTGTGTCAGCTGTAAACTGATAAAAACTATCTTTAAGTTTTGTCTAACCTAACTTCCACTTGTCTTAGGTTGTTGACCGCAAACGCACTAAACGTGCAAATGAATTTGGCATAGAATTTGATGACAATCTTACAACAACAGTTGATGCTAGAGTTCTGCTGCCTCCAAATGTACTACTTCCATGAGGTCTGATGTAGTAGTTTTAGGTCTAATGCAGTTTCTGATTGCCTTATGTGCTCTCCTTTTGTTGTTGTTGTAGCTTAAGTATCATGATTCTGGATCTCAGAAAACGTGGTTTCCAATGAATGGGTACTGGAATATGAAAGACAAGGTATGTCATACTGTCATTAACTTTCTCTTATGTTCTTTAGCGAAGTAATGAATCAAGAAAATATTTTCTTTAATTTTCCATGAATTTGATTGTACATAACTCAATATATTTCTTCTTAATCTGTAACCATTGTTTGCATATTTTATTTTGATTGTTTGCAGAAAGTAATAAATGGTGCTAAGATCAGCAACTGGGCATGTGTCAATTTTTGTGAAGATTTATCCAAGAAAGTTATTGTGGAGTTTTGCTTTAAGCTGGCTGAAATGTCTCGCATTACTGGAGTGGTAATATGCTTTTTCATCATCCTTTTTCACACCGTCTCTAGGTCCAAACTTCTTGTCTACCATTTTTCACTTTAATTTCAGGACTTCGCCAATTTGAAGCTTCCAATATTTACTGCACGTCCAGATCAAGTTGAACATGATATTCGTATATGCTATCAGGAAGCACAGAACAAGCTCAGAGATCAGAAGATTGACTTACTGCTTGCTATTCTGCCGGATGAAAATGGCAGTTTATATGGTATTGTAGTGTTTATGACGGGATACATAGTTTCTTCACTTCTGTTACATATATGTCATGCATGATAGTACCCCCACAGGAAATATTAAAAGAATCTGTGAGACAAATATTGGTCTCGTGGCACAGTGTTGTCCAAGGTCAAATGTCTTCACGAAAAGTAATCAGATATTGGCAAGTATGGCTATTAAGATCAACGCCAAGGTAAACCTCAGCTTCGCTTCATCTATTGTTTCAAAAACTTGCTGTTCAACATGATACGCTATATTCACCATCTTGACAGGCTGGAGGAAGGAACTCAGTATTTGATGATGTACGGGAGAGTTTACCGGTTGTTTCAAACAAGCCGACAATTATATTTGGTGCTCATGTTTCTCATCCTTCTGCTAAAGATGATTCTGCTGCCCCTTCTATTGCTTCTGTAAGGTTTACTTATGTTTGGTAAATGGATAGTACCTTGGTCATTTTCATCTCATTAAACTAACAGATGCTGCCTGAGGTTCTGTTTAGGTCGTTGCATCCCAAGACTGGCATGAGGTGTCTAAGTATATTGGTGTTGTTCGTGCACAAGGTCACTGTGAAGAGATCATCAGTGGCCTTGAAGACATTGTCAAGTACATCCTTCAATCTATGTAACTATTTGAAACATGCATGCCACCACATTGGGTTGCATTTTAATTTGTTGAACTTTTGAAGGGACCTCCTTCATGCATTTGAAAAGGAGTCCAACAAGAAGCCCCAGCAGCTGATATTCTACAGGTTCTTATCTTTCAGCTGTTCTGTGATGCGCTCTTTTGATCATCATCCCATGAAAATTAACAGTAGACTACTTTTCTCTCTATGTTATTTTGGCCCCGTTCGCTTCGCTGAAAAAACAAGCCGAAACACTGTTCCGGCTGATTTGTTGTGAGAGAAAAACACTGTTCCGGCTGAAAAAAACAAGCTGAAAAAGACGGATTATAAGAGAAGCGAACAGGTAAAAGTGATTTGAGAGCAAATAGTGCTTTCCATTATCATATTTGATTAGAACATTTGGTAATAATAATTGTTTCTTCAGGCTTGGAAAGCACTGTATGATAATGAGAAGCCACAAATCACCTTCATTGTGGTGCAGAAGAAGCATAGGCTAAGGCTGTTTCCCATGGACAACAAGTATAAGCACCGTTCGGCTACGAAGAAAATTGTTGAGCCTGGCTAGAACTTAGAACCACAAGCTTATTCGCAACAGTCAATTTATGGTATCCTGTTTCATAAGCTATCTTAATCACATGTTTCTGAAAAAATTGTAGGCACAGTGGTTGATAGCGAGATCTGTCATCCAGCAGAATTTGATTTCTTCCTTTTCAGCCATGCTGAGATGAAAGTAAGATGTCCACAAGATCACAAATAACTTGAACTGTCTTCTTGCCAATCTGTATCCTACAGAATAAAGATTTAATGATTATGGAAATGCAGGGCGCAAGGCGTCCTGTGCAATACCTTGTGCTGCGAGATGACAACAACTTCAAAGGAGACGAACTGCAGGCTCTCACAAATAACCTGTGCTACACGTGAGCATGCTCTTGTTGTTTTTTTGGGTTTGTGCTGTCCAGGTGTCTGACAGTTTGTCCTGTTTCTGTCTCCTGTCAGTTATGCAAGCGGCACTCAGTCGGTATCAATTGGTATGTCATTCTTCTCTGTTTTCTCTGATAATTTAGTTTAAACAAACTTTCCTTTCCTGCTTAACCACGGTATCCAGTGAAATTGACATCCAGACTCCAGCTGTGTACTTCATAAAACTTGGCAATTCTGGTTGAATTTGTAGTAAATCTGCATCCATGCACAGATCCAGAAGCACGACTGCACAAGGATATCTGCATCATCAATAGAAATATAATGTTACTAGCACAATTTTGCATTGTGCATGGAAGAAAATGTTAGCGTGATGCTTTGCTGATTGTTTGTAATGGCAGTTCCTCCCGCATACTACGCCCAGAAGCTCACACAGCGTGCCCGCGTCTACCTCGCCCAAGGCTCTGACACGGCATCAGCGTCAAGCTCCGGCAGTGCAGCTGCTCCTGGTGGTGGTCCGAAGCAACCTCCAGAGATAAAGGATGAGCTGAAGAGGTCCATGTTCTACTGCTAGTCCTTTTGCTGCCTCCTGAATAGACGATGCATTGCTCTAGTGAAAGATTTGAGTTGAGTGTGCTCTGACATCTGGAGAAGGATGACATCTGCAACAGCTGTCGTGGTCTTTTCAGTACACTGGAACGGGTTGTATGTTTGTAGAGGCCTATGTTGACTCAGTGTTTCCAGTAAGAATGGGTGAGATATATTGTATCGTTCACCATCTGGTGGTCTGGCATGCACTGCGCTGCACCAGGAAAAAAAAACCTGCAAAGCAACCTAAAGGCATCATCCTCTGCTCCTCTGGTTTGCTAGATGCCACTGGGCCTCGGTCCATTCTGCGCTCGGTATGTGTTGCTCTGGTGTTGGGTGCCCAGCAGAAAACCTATATGTCCATTCCTCTAAATTGTCACCGCCCCCTCAGGCAACAAGGCAGGATAGGGTCGGCTGTTCGTAAAGTCGTTTGTGCTGATTTGTACAGTTGATTTGTTGGAAGAAAAAAATATTATATCACGGCTTATAGGCTGGCTTATAATGACAACGGAACACTCCCTCGAGTTCTTTGGTTCTGCTCCTGCTTGTTGCCATGGAGGCAGCGAGAGGTCTACGCCCTGTTCGTTTGGGCTTGTTTGGCTTATAAGTCATGGCTGAAGTACTGTTGACCGATTTAACGTGAGAGAAAAATACTGTTTATTGGCTGATAAGCTATGACTTATAAGCCAAATACGACCCTACGAACATGCTGTTAATGATAATTCAAGCAGAGACGGCCGCACGGCCAGCCTGGGCTGGGACTCAAGTCAGAGATGTATGGTTAGAGGCGTAGAGCCAGAGGGTTGCTTGAATTGTTGGTTTTGGAGACAAAAGGGTTCCATCAACGTCTTTTCCTATATATTGATGGTTGTTTGTTTTCGCTTCTTCACAAACAAGAAAGGGGAAAAAAGATTGTCGTGATTCACCCTCTTCCTGCTCTGGAGTCAATTATTCCTTCAAGTGCTCTCCTCTTTTGAATGGAAGTGCTATCCTCTTTTACATACATTGTCTGATTTCCGATTTGTCCTGCTTGAGAAAGAAAGGAACGCTAGGGCCTACGTGTCTTTTACAAGTTTGGACACTACTGCTCATTTGGGGCTAACAGCAACTTGAATGCTTTTGTTTTGACTACTATTTGCTTGTATGCCATTCTGAGCGTTGCTTTGCGCCTCTGCACGTATACTACCACTCATTGATTAACTGGAGCTATTGTGTTACTCGAATTTTGTACGAGTTTATATTGCACAACCCACTGCGCAGCTTGTGTTGTTCTTTTTTTTTTGTTGTAAAAATAGGATACTAATTCTGGATTGTATAGTTGGCAATAGTTGGTTGATCCTTCGTCTAGCCTAGTAGGCACGTATGAGCACCGTCAAATGTACTACCTTTATGGGCACGGAAACGGTCTCAATAAGTCTTAAGATCGAGGAAGTCACCACATATGCCTCACATTGATGGGTACGTCACAAACAACTCAAAAAATATCATCACTAAATTTTAAAATATATCTAGAAAAAAATACAAGTACCTGTATAAGCTAGAGGACTTCAATCCGGATGAGGTAGGTTTCAACACAAGAAAACTAACTAGCTGAGCTACTCTAAGTTCACTGGTGAAACATGTTTCCCATCATCTATTCTGTTAGTATTTGGCCAACAATAAGAAACCTTTCGTATTTATCGGGTTCATAAACCCGGGGTCCCCAATGAACCCGCTTCCCTACAAAACTCGGCCCAGCAGGCGGTACAACGACAGCACACGCCTAGGTCGGCCCAGATACACAATAACAGGCCAAGACCACGATCCGGTTCCCGACCGGCACCTCTGACCTCTGGGTCGTGGGCTCCGCCTCGCCCGACCTCTAGGTCACGGGCTCCGCCTCGCCCGGCCCCCTTTCTCCGACCGAGGATACGCCGGACCTCTGCTTGCTGCTCGTTCCCTACCGACACGGTCGAGGCCAACTGGGAGCAACCGACCGTGGATGCCCGCTGGGTGTGGGCCTGGGGAGCAGGCGGTGCAGATACGGTAAGGCGCTCAAGTCAACCGCAATACCGAGGACCATACTCTGCATGCCCTGTGCACCTGCAGAACAGTGCCGACGGGGCATGACAGGCGAACACGGTAGAGCCTGCCAGACGCGTCAGAGCATAAACAGTGTTGTGGGAGCCGTCGTTTGTCGTACCAGGCGAACACGGTAGAGCCTGCCAGACGCGACAGAGCATAAACAGTGTTGTGGGCGCCATCGTTTGTCGTACCAGACGAACACGGTAGAGCCTGCCAGACGCATCTAGGCATTAACAGTATTGTGGGCGCTGGCAGCCATCCCGTACCCGATGGTGTGAGAAACAAGACTAGGCAGCACACGTATACACACACTCTCTCTTTCTCTCTGACTTGTAAGGCCATCCCTTTCAAGTATAAAAGGGGATGTGCTCTCTCCCAACAAACACATGCTAGACGACTCGAGGACTTGAACAACTCAATAGCTCTAGAACTTGACAGCTACATAGAGCATACGCTCCAATACTTAGCGCACGTTAGAGCACCCGTCACTCTCGGTCACTCGGTTCAGAGTCCGACCGGGCCTCTAACACCCCCTTCTCATTCCTTACTCGTTTGTAACCTCACAGCAAACACTGAGCACCTGGGCTCAGGAATAAAGTCACCGACCGACCTCAACTGGATGTAGGGCTCGTTGCCTAAACCAGTATAAATTATGTGTCATTGAGTGCTAGGCCACATCCGATCACAACACGCGGTAAAACTACAAATATTTACTTTTGGTCACTTTTTGCATCGACAGTTGGCGCCGTCCGTGGGGAGGACGCCGTGCGTTCCCGCTTTTGGTCATCGGATGGCCCACCTTTCCACCATCTTCGGCATGGCGGGCTCGAGCGATACGATTCGCTTTGGCTCGCTAGAGTTTCCCACGCTCCCACCTGTTGGGATGTGGGTTCCTCCCGTCTTCGATCCGCTCCAGACTTTCCTCTTTGCAAGCCTGGACTTTGTTGCCGATGAACTCGGCGTACTCCACCTCTGCGAGGAGGCACTCGTCCCGACATCCACTGGAGGAGGAGCGCCCTCCACCGGCCCCGGGCCACTCGACGACCTCAACGTTGAGACACTCGCGCTTCGCCTCGAGCCCATGCTGGGCTCAAACCCCACGATGAGTGATGTACATATTGTTCTTTACTCACTATTTAACACCTTCCACCGACTCTCCGGAGGGACCCCGTTGTCCCCACCGCTACCGCCGTGCGACTGGTTCCCCTACGACTTCTCGTCTCCCGTGGACACGTGCGCACGGGGGCTTCGAAGGATGCTGACGCCGCCCCCTCTCATATTTGAGTTTGTGGGGATGGCGGGCTATGCTCCTGCCTCCTTTCATGACCTCGTCGATGATGAGGTCGAAAGCGACGGCTCCAGCATTGGCGATGTCGTGGCACCTGGCCACCCTCTATCCCGAGAGTGCGCTATGGTGGACGCCTTGAGACAGTCACTGGTGGTAGTGGAGTCTCTACAGACTCACACCCCTCCAGACCCCGTGCGAAGGCCCTCGTGCATGCGCAGGAGCATGGCGAGGAGTTACGACAAAGGCGGCAGAGCCAGCCACCACCTGCGCTGGCGCGCTCGACGCAGCATGCTGAGCCACATGCATGTAACTCGATGAGCGGTGCTTAGGGTCATGCCCGTCAGGTCCAACGTAACATCCTGGACGGAGGGAACGACTTCCCTCAATTTGCTCAGGCTAGCCAGAACATCGCTGCTGTGGCGATGCTTCTGCATGGCCTCCCCGAGCCTGGCGACCCACAGGAATAGGTAATCCACAAGAACCTCCAGGCACTGGTGGAGATCGCCGCCATTCAATAGGCGGAGAGCTCCGCATTGTGACACCGGCTCGCGGCCTCTTGCCCAACCGGAGGACTAGGGCCGCACAAGTCGAATCGCTTCATGCACTCATCACTGCAGTTGCCGGGCGTGGGGCAGGAAGCCACGGCTACACCGTAGCCCAACTCGGCGTCCGCTCCACACCGACCACCTATGCATGAATGGCTCGGGCTGAACCATGATGCTCGCAGCGTCATCAACAATCGACGCCACGCCCGGCACGATGATGACATCCATCAAGTGGTGGCAAGAGTAGGCGGCGCGGGCCCTGGCCTAACCATCGAGGAGTGTGGGGACACGCACCCTAGGCATGGTGGCCGACCAAACGACCGGAGCCTTAGCTCGGACGGCTTCGGGCCATGGGCCTTTGGTCATCGCATCCAGAAAGCGCCGTTCCCACAGCGCTTCCGACAACCCACCAACATCGCCAGGTACACCGGGGAGACGAACCCTAGTATATGGCTCGAAGACTTTCAGCTCGCCTACCGAGCCGGAGGAGTGGATGATGACTACTTCATCATCCAGTACTTCCCCATCTGCGTGGGGGAGCATGTTCATGCATGGCTTGAATTCCTTCCACCCGATAGCATCCGCGACTGGGCGGATCTCAAGAGGGTCTTCGTCGGAAATTTCCAGGGGACGTATGTCTGTCCTAAAAATTCCTGGGACTTCAAGAGCTGCCAGCAGGAGCCCAACGAGTCCCTATGGGATTACATCTGTAGGATCTCAAAGCGGTGCAACTCCCTTCCTGGTGTCATCGACGTGGACGTCATCAGCGCGTTCCTCCCTGGGACAACCTGGAAGTCCTTGATCCACAAGCTTGGCTATGTGAATCCCCGTACCACCTGCGACCTACTCGACATCACCACGAACCACGCCTCTGGTGAGGAGGCGGTCGGGGCGGTCTTCAGCGGTGGTTGGGATAGGGGCAAGGCCAAGCGTGAGGACCAAGGCGAGGGCCCCTCCACACAAAAAGTCAAGAAGAACAAGAAGGATCGGCACCGACCGACCAACCCAGCTTTGGTCGCTGCAGCCGACCGAGCGGGCAAGCAGCCCCAGCAGGGCTAGCCCGACCACTTCGACAAGCTCATGGAGAGT